GCTCAATGCTTTCAACAGACGGTAGGGTACTCTCTTCTCAAAAAGTACAAATCCCAGTGCAGGAAGATGCTGAATATCATCTCAGACAACTTTCTGAAGGCGCTAAAAGAACGACGAGATTCAAATCTGAACTCGATCATTGCAGAAATTGAGGCCTACAGAAAGGACAACAAATTCCATCGTGAGCCCGAGGGAAGGACCCTGTTGGGCTCTTTGGATCAGATGCTTATGTTCCTGAAGTTGATTACCAACATTCAAATCATTATTCGCACAGCGAGTACCACTATTGATTGTATATGTAGTTCCTGGAGAATCTGTTGGAGAATTGTTTTGCCGTTATTCATGTTGTGAGTCAAACTCTTTGTATTCTTGGTAGCTACGTGAAGTGCAAGGAAACGTGGAATTTTGATGAAAGGAAGCATAATCTGCCGCAACATTCGGCGAATTTTGAACAGGACTCCGATCAGGGATTTGAATTTGGGTGTTTCCGAATTGATTCCGTACCGATGGCAACCCCACCTTGTGTTCCACATCCCGGAAATGTCAGGATGATGCTGACCATCATTTCGTAACATTTCATGCCTACACTAAAAGAACTTCGGAGTCGAACCCAGTCGCGTGAATGTGCGGCCAACGATTCAGGTTATATTATACACCGATGCATACTAGAAAGGCGGACTTGAACCTCTTCTACAGAGTCACAAGTCTGCCACGCAAAAACGAAGGCACAAGCACGGGTGTGAGAATTCATATATTCATGTAAGTTTTCTTAATTCGATTATTGGTCCATGTAGTTTGGTCCAATTGAAGGTTTGTGATTTGAATTAAAAATTCATAAGAATTGGTTTGTGAATTTATCATTTATGAATCATTCGTGCTTTTGGGTAGCAACATTAAAAATTTTGTCCAAAATTAAAAAGGTTTTAATCGCGATTAACTAAAACGATCATTATTGCGTGACATTTTGAAAAGTTTACAATCACTAACAAACTTTTAATTTAACCAAAACTCCAATTGGATGAAAATCAATTGTACAATATTTTTCTTGAGGGTTTTAGCATGCTGCACCGACAGGAAATTTTATTCATTTTTTAATTATTTATAGAAAGAAATCGAACATAAAAATAAAATAACAAGAAAAAGAAGACGCATCCTAGAAAGTATATTCGTGTTATTATTATGATGCTCTTAAATTGATTCCATTTATTAATTTAATATGAATTTGTCATGTGGGTTGGTGTTGTTGCTAAGTTGCTAGCCTGCTCAAACTTTCTTTTGCTCCCGTTTTGGCATCAGTCTAAACAACTTGTTTATGTTTGAGGAAAATACAGAGGAACAACATATGTTTCTTTGTTTTTTTCTTAATTCTTTGGCTGGAAATTATACTTTTTTCCTTTTTTTTTTCTTTGCATCTTGAGAATTTAAATGTTAGTGGATCTAAAGTAATTAAATAATATTTTCTAAATCAGAATTCGACATTTTTTAATTCTATTATCTTTAAAAGTGCGGAAAATAAGTGTTATTTGGTGTGGCGATCAGTCGTACTGTTACATAATCTTGTCAATTCACTCATTTTATTAAATGAGTATTCATATATAATATCACATAAATGTTATTTTGGTCTCCTAGTGTCCAATAATATATGGTCCATCGTAGTTAGATTTGATATTATAGGTAGATTAAATGAATGTGTTTTTAATGTTTTAATCTCAACTCTTGATTTTAAATACAATGATGAACCAACTAAAACTACGTTGAATGATATTCCTCTTCACTTGTAAGTAAGAAGTCTCATATTAGACTCACATGAATGACGATGGTGTATTATATTTGTGTTGAGTTAAATACATTCCTTTTCCTTGTAAGTGAAATGTTTTAGATTCGATTATCGTCAAAGGTGGATTTGAACCAAATTTTACTAGCCCATTGTGAGGCTTAGCCCACTCCCATATCCCTTTAGTGTAGATAATATATATATATATTAGTGGCTGACTCTTTGCATAACCTAACCTAGTCCCCCTTCACTTTAGGGCAGAGTTTCCCCCTCCCTTAAAGGCATATTTACTTACATGGCATGGATATCAAGGAATATGTATGAGATGCGTATAAGATAAACCACTCCTATGTCAATTATATCATTCATTTCCTTAGTTGTTTGTAGCCACGTGAATAAGAATGATATTTGTTCCTTATAAGTAAATATATTCTTAGAATATAATATTATTGTAAAAGAAATAAAACAATAACATATGACTTTTTAAAACAGTGACGAAAAACAGTCATATCTAGCAACTAACAACTAACTCTATGATTCACTAGCACTCCACTCTACTAAAAGAGAAAGGGTAATGGTTGAGAAGCTAAAATTATAGACAAAATTTTGTAAATTAAATGACATGGTAAGTTGACGATTGTACTATTGCTTAAGCGTTGATAAACGTACTCATTTCTTATTGGTGATACATCATTTGATTTGTAAATTTTATATATAAATTTAATCTTCTTAACATTACCCAAAGAAAAATAAAATGATAATGACCATGCATCATTGATCTTCGTTAAGAATACTTGTCTGCCATTGTAAAGAAGACCAAAATAGAAAAAAAAATGCCGAGTCATAGTTGGGATCTGAAAACACTAAAATGAAGACTTTTCAGGGACGGAGAGGGACAATAGAATTTTATACTTATGATTCAAGTTATTCATATTTTAAATTACTTTGTAAATATCACTTAATTAATAAATTGTAATAAATAAATACATGGTTCATGATTTATTTATTGAATTCATCAATCTGTTTTTACACAGTTCGATAACTAAACAATCTCATGTTTAATTAATTATTTTGTAAAAATAATTTTTACATAATAATTTATAATATAATTGATTTCGATCATAAACATAAAGTTCTGTAAAACAACTACATGGGTATTGAGAGGAACCCTCCTTATTCATTGAAGAGTCAAAATTATTTCCTTATCCGCCGGGTCAAAGTAAAAGAAAGAATCAAAATTCAACACTTTTCGGGGATCGGTAGGTTTCATGGGTTGCTTCCAGATTTCTCACATCTCACATGGGTTGCTTCATGCATTTTGCATTTGCATCCAATTCATTAAACGCGTGATCAGCTTGCAAAGCTTGTACACGTAAAGTGCAAATCTGGAGTGTCACCGCTGTTTAATGCTATAGTCACTTTTAACACTTCACATTTGCTTATATTTTTTGAAAAGAGTACGATGTTTCATTCATTAAAAAAGAAGTATTACAAATATATATTATGAAGAATTCTATCCTAAAATTATTCTTGCAAACTAAATTCAAAAGTTTTGGAGTAAAACATTACTAATTGCAAAACAATGAGTAGATTTTCCGCACTCGTCCGAGCTCATCAAGAACTGCAAGATTACACCAAACATAAAACTGTTAAACCTCATGTCACATGGAATACGATGCCCATAGATCAAATCATATCATCTAATCACTACTACGATCTTAGAACACCCAGTGAAGTAAATCCAGCAAATCACACAACTCCACCTTTTACACATAGATCCAAAACAGGTTGCACACCAAAATTAAAATTAAAATCAAGCAACTCTCTTATAGAAAGCAATCACACCAGTAAACTCTTTTAAAGACATCAAAATCAAACTCCAAGACAATTCCTGTAAATTATTAAACAAAAACAAAATAAAGGATAAATTCATGTCGCCGCTCTCTGCAAACATTCGAGGGCCATATTACCACATTGGCTAAACCTATAATGTCGTACTACCTACACTCGATCCTAACGCAATCTGACATCTTCCATGGCTTCTAGTTTCAATCATATATCGAAGGTGATAATTGAATCAAAAACTTTGTGTTTGCTATGTGCATGGTCCAAAAGACAAACACTGTCACGATGACTACATCGTTTCACAGCTACAATTCTACACCTTTACAAAGGAAATGAAAAGAGAGAGACAAAATACCATAAATGATTTTCAAGAAAATATAAAAATAGGAATATAAACACAAGCAGATCCGTTAGAATTTTCAATCAAAGGTAGAACTTAATGAATAGTTGATCGGTAAACAACAATAAATGAGCACGAAACTGCAGTTTGTATGCGGTCTATTGATGTCTATTGTCTTCTGTTTTACTTTTTACCAAAATTATAACGGCTTTTATTTATGCATATTGCAAAATATATTATAGATCTCAATCTCTTCGGCTGTTATGCCCAAAATTGTAAAATAACATTAACCTTATTAAATATTGAATTTAATTAGCTCTTCATTTTCAATATATATTTTTTAATTTCACTACCCATTTTTACTTTATATTTCCCATTTACTTTCTTAACTTTATCAAACATTGTAATTTATGCTCCCATCCACATGGAAGTTCAAGTGATTTCACATATCCAAAATTTAAAAGTTAATACTAGATGAAAGAGCAAATCATGAAATTTTCCTAATAACTAGGGAAAAAAAGGTACCAAAGTTGGAACCAAGATTAGGAAAACGAAATTAGGGTAAATCCCATCAAAACGCACATACTTAAAATTGATCCATGAGTCCCAAATAATTATTTTGATATTTATTAAAAATGGTAATGGATGTGAATGTGAGGCCATATGAGGGTAACATGCTGGATTGCTCAGAGATACATCAAAAGAAAAAAGAAAAAAAGAAAAAAAAAAGAAAAAAAGAAAAAAAGAAAAAAAGAAAAAAAGAAAAAAAGAAAAAAAGAAAAAAAGAAAAAAAAGGAAATAAAGGAAAAAAATTTAAATTAGCCAGCCAATATATCCCAAAGCCATCCCCTTTGTCTTATACATTGTTTTTATTTTTCTGTTTATATAACCCCCATTGCTCTTTAGCTTGGTCTCTCGAGGGAGGTGGTGACCGACTTCTGCAGCCTGCAACTCTGTCTGCATTTGTTGTCCACCTCTCTTCCCATCACAATTCAAAAACCAAGATCCAAATTAGGGGAAGAGAGGATTTGGAAAAAGGGTTTTTGGGTGTTTTTGATTCGCGCTCGGAATTGCAGAGATGGAGAAGGAAAAGAAGTCTCCCGTGTCCGATGTGGGAGCTTGGGGGATGAATATTGTGAGCTCTGTGGGCATTATCATGGCCAACAAGCAGCTCATGTCTCCCCACGGCTTTGCTTTCGGCTTCGGTCAGTTCATCTCCTTCTTGTAACTGTGTTAATTTGCCAATCTTATCTTATTTTTCTTCTGGGTTCTGTCCTAATCTTCAATTTAATTACAGATCTGAAGTGGGAATTTCTTTTTGATTGATGGGTTTTTAGTGTTTTCCTTGTTGAATAATGGGTTGCTTTTATTTTCCTGAATTGTGTGAAGAACCTCAAATTTTTGTAGATGCCATGAATCTGAGGATGAACTGCATTTTTCCCAATTTCGAAATGTTAATTGATTGTTTTCTGGCCTCAAATTTGATTCGCAAGGGACCAATAAGTCAATTAGATTCCAATATAATATTCCATGTTCGATTGGACCGTTATTTGCCAGTCATGGCAGCTTCAGCTATGGCAGGCCTTTTTTGACTTGTCATCATTCCCTGTAGATTTAGCTTCATTTCATTTGAAATTACTACGCATGATTCAGCTTTGTTTATGACCTAGATTCATAAGGAGATCTGACTGAATGTGTATGCAAAAGCATGCTTATGTCACACAGAAATAGTTGTATTCATTGGCGGATTGGTTTCCGGCAATTGATGATTGTATATTTTTCTTTGCAGCTACAACTTTGACTGGATTCCATTTCTCTGTTACTGCTTTGGTCGGTTTGGTGTCGAATGCCACCGGTTACTCTGCATCAAAGCATGTTCCTCTATGGGAACTTGTTTGGTTCTCACTTGTTGCCAATGCCTCAATCACTGGGATGAACTTGAGCCTCATGCTTAACTCTGTTGGATTTTATCAGGTGAACATCATTTTATTAGCCCAACCATTTTTCCTTTAGTGCACAGTTGTGATCTGATTTCTGATCTTCTCCATTGTGATACTGGTGTAGATATCGAAGTTGAGCATGATTCCAGTGGTTTGTGTGATGGAATGGATTATTCATGGAAAGCATTTTTCACGGGAAGTCAAGATTGCGGTGGCTGTAGTGGTTGTAGGCGTGGGTATATGTACTGTGACCGATGTGAAGGTCAATGCTAAAGGCTTTCTGTGTGCCTGTGTGGCTATCTTGTGTACATCCCTACAACAAATTGTGAGTATTTCTCTCATTTTCTCTCTCTCTTTTTTTTTTTTTTTAAACTATATCATGAGTCTGAGTTTAGGTATAAGAACCTTGAAACAACTGTTGATCTGACTTTCTTGTTGATTGAGCAACAGTCAATAGGTTCCTTGCAAAAGAAATACTCGATAGGCTCTTTTGAATTGCTCAGCAAGACGGCTCCCATTCAAGCTCTATCTCTTCTTGTTCTTGGTCCATTCGTTGATTACTTTCTTACCGGAAAACTTCTTACTGATTACAAGTTGTCTACTGGTGCATTTGTAAGTGCTTCTTCTTCTATTTGATCTTAATCTGCTTCTGAGTTTACGAGGAACAATTTCTAATGAAGCTGCTGTGCTTTGTGTGATCCCATTGTATGCAGTTTTTCATTCTACTCTCATGCTCCTTAGCAGTGTTTTGCAACATCAGCCAGTACCTCTGCATCGGCCGCTTCTCAGCTGTCTCTTTCCAGGTTTTGGGCCACATGAAAACAGTATGTGTCCTGACATTGGGGTGGCTACTCTTCGATTCCCAGCTCACATTCAAAAACTTGCTTGGCATGGCTCTAGCTGTTCTTGGCATGATCGTATACAGCTGGGCCGTGGAGGCTGAGAAGCAATCCAAGGTCCTCCCTAGTCATTTATCAGAAGAGGATCTGAAACCGCTGAAGGAGGGAATGTCGGAGAGTCCATTGAAAGACGTCGTGATTGGCGAGTCCAAAGTATAATCTTGCGGTTTTCACTGCTCAAAGGCATTTTCTGAGGTACAGGATGAGCACATGTTTTGACATTCATCTGCTCGTCCAGCACACGCTTTTACATCATCTAATTCTATTTATTCACAAAATATGTTCAATCTTTTTCTTTTCCTCTTATTTATTTTTGTCAGAAATCGATTAATAATTGACGTTTAGGCTGAACCACCCGTTGATGGTTGTAAAATATTTTTGTATATGGATTTCAGTATTCAGAAAGAAGTACAACGAATTAATGGTTTGTTTCCTTTAGCCAATATTTTGAGTAATTATTTGTGGATGGATGGTAGTATTTTTTAATAGTTATGAACATTAAAATTTGAATTCTGAGAATCTATTTTCCTCCCTCTTCCCCTACTTTCCATCCGCCAAATGAGTTCTACATAGATCCAACCACACATTGACGTGCATCCGACCGCATTATTGACATACATTAATTTCGGTCATATTATTAACCACATCTCTTACATAAACGGGACATATTTTGACATGTACAAAACAGATCCCGTATGTTAGTCCACTAGTTGATTCTTTGAAGATCTGGGATTTTAGATTCAATCTTGGCCACTAACCATATAGACATTTCAGCCATTATTAAGATAAAAACAGACATAAGCAATTTTGTAGTTTCCTTTTTTTTTTTTTTCCTTTGATCCAATCTTCATCTTTTGCACGAGTTCGTTATTCGTCAGTGTAGAGTTAGTCGTGAACTTTTACTGACAATCAGCTGTCTGAATTATTTATTGGTGTGAAAAACTACTAAAGTAATAAACAAATAAAGAGCAGCAAATGCATGTTATCTCATTTGGTCAGGATAGTGTGTTTGTATCTTTGCTTATAAGTTTGAATATCGCTCCTTGTAGACCACAACCAATTGGTAAAAGATCTCAAACACAAATTTCCAAAGTCGCAAAGTTATTATGCCAAAGGTTATACATACATCCAACCACATTATTGACATACATCCGACCACATTATTAATCACATCTCTTACAAAAGCGAAACTCAGTACAAAATACAAATATTGTAAATATAATATGTCAGATTGCTCACTATCTTCTCCACCAACTCTTAGCTTGATCAAAGAAAAGACGGAAGAAGAAGATAAAGCAAAGGTTTGTATTGTATTACTTCCACGTTGGCTATAAAAAACAAGTTTGCAACTTGCAGTTTGTTACTTGATTAAATTATTAATCCTGCTTTAGCAAAGAGTAACTAAATAATTAATTTTGATTAATTTTTAATCCAATTGGAATTTGCAATGCAGGAACACGTAAAGAGAGATGTTGCCCCTCTTTTAAGGATTGAAAAAGGAACGATGGTGGAGTGATTAGCAAGTTTATGTTTTAGATTTGTCAACTTGTATACAGTGGAAAAACAAAAACGTGCACATAGAGATAGGTACTGGTGAATGAGAGATTGAGAAGGAACCTATTTAGAGTGAGAGCTACAATTTAGAAATCAGAGTGATTTGTTTACCGGATATTTGACATGTTATGTTGTTAGATTGTAAGGTACAACTACAAATTTAAGCATTGTTTCATAAATCCGTCTAAGGAGGAAACCTAATTCATAATCTAAACACACCCATGGATTATTTACTCTTATCATGTCCCTCACGGCGTTGTGTTTGCGTTTGGTCAATTTCACTTCCTCTTCTTCTTTAACGAGATGATCAATGATTAGTGTTCTTAAATATGTTAAAAAACTCTTTAAGTAACTTCATTAGTTTGTACAATGAAGGCATTTAAAATAATAATAATAATAATAAAAAGAGTGAGACAACTAGTGGCAAACTACGATTATCCACCCATTCTGGGGGCCGAAAAGACGCACAGAGGCATTTCAGCCTCCCATTGGCCACAAGTCTAACTTCCACACCAGCAACGGGTTTTCGAACCCGAGATCTCCAGTTTTTCGTTTGAATGATCCTTTTTGTGATCGCCATCATTTTTTATATTTAATTAGTCCCTGAAACTTCTTGCATTACATGATATGCATGGAAAGGTCTATTAAATAAAACATTAGTGATCTTTGAAGTAGTACTAATTTTCGGATCAAACCGAAGAACCGGGCATAATAATTGATGTAATAAGTAAAGATCGACACATAAGTAATGCATTCTTAATTGGAGCTATAACCTTTTCTAGTTTCCATTATTTTGTAATTGTATACATTGGTTTGGCGTATGTTGCTGGCTACTTTGCATTGAAGCGTGCAATTCCGTTGTCGAAGCTTCTTTAGTTCTAAGTTTTAGCAAATGTCTCAATCACTATGATGAATTTCTCAAGTTTTATTAAGTAATTTTCGTGTTCTTTAACTATTTTTTGGTATGAATAGTTGCACCTTCTTATTTGCAAATGTTAAGGACAGTTGTTCACGTGTCTGCGCGTAAAGTGTAAGTTATTAATACATAGATATTGAACTTGAGCATGAATCTTGTGGTATGTGGGATGGAATGGATATTTCATGGAAAAGAGTTTCCAAGGGAAGCCAATATAACTATGGGCCTATGGCAAATGGTAGGAACGAGCATGTTTACAGTGATTGAGCAAAAGTTTTTGGATTGTAATATTCATATACCTTTAATTACTTGTCTCACATTTTTTTTTAATACTTTATTGATTTTTTTACCCTTTGATCTTTCATATATGGAAAGGGATCCTCGCCGAATCCTTTTCCTAGGGATCTTGGGGATCGTGTAATCATGTCCGTTTATCGTACATCGTGCGGTTAGTTTTCGTTAGGTACTATTTATATTTAATTTAAAATTTAAAATTTAAAATAATTTTTTATCGTACGATGTACGATAAACGGACATGATTATAGGATCTTTGGGATTCCCAAAAAAAGGATCCGGCAAAGATCATTTTCCTCCAGATATGTCCTTCCTACTTTTTGACCTTTGAAACTTTAGAATACTGTTATTATTTTGTTTTACACTTTTATTTAAAAACACTCCACCATATATGCCCTTCTGTAACTCTTAGGGGGCGTTTGTTTCACCTTCTTAAGTGGGATTGGATTGGCTAGGATTATTGTCCCATGTTTGGTAAGCTTGGGGACTAACTTAAATGAGACTAGCCTGGACGTGTGGACTATCTCCCTAGCTAGGTCGTCTTAGCGAAACCCCCCGAAAACCACGGGACTGCTAAGACTTGCTTCGTCTCCTTTACGTCGCTTGGAGTCCTCCCTCTACGAAGACCTTGCTTCGTCTGCGTTGCGTCCTTTCTCCAACGAGATCACAACACCACACCAAGACGGGTACGCCGTGCAGGTGGAGACGTTTCCGACGGACTCGCCGGTCAAGAGCGAGCTCTGTAAGGTCATTCTGGTGGTGCAGAGGGCGCATGACGATCCATTTTAGAGAGACTGGTTGTAGGGGGAGGCGCCCAGCAGGACTCAGAGGCATTGGGTGGGGGGAGTAAGTTGCCGGTGCGGCGGAGGTACTCGAAGTCGACGAGGCGGAGGCCTTGGACGAAGTACTGGCACCTGGTGTTGAGGTTGTAACGGCGGCGGTTATCGGAGACCATTCCCTCGTCTCAAATCAAAGAGAACTACGGCGATATTCTCGGTGACCCGACCAAATTGCAGCTGCATAGAGCTCCAACAATGACTTTTGTGTTGCAAACCTCTGAGGAAGGTCCCGTTCTTGCCATCGTCCGATTCCTCTGATATGCAATTGTAGGAAGTTGGTTTTGATTTGATCTCAAAGTATGGAACTGGGTTTCGAAGAAGAGGAAGAGTTTTCAGAAAAAAGAAGGAAAAAATGAAAGAAGTAAGAATAAAATATTAATAGAGATATAGATAAATTAATATAATATTAGAATTTATTAATTATCCTGTTTCTTAATCTAACACTGCATCAAACCCTTCACTAAGTTATTCTAACTTAGTCTATTCTAAGGCAGTCCAGCTTAGTCCTTAAAGGTAGTCCAGTCCGAGATAGTCCGGCGCAACAGACGCCCTCTTAAGTTCTACAGCCAAATAGATCCCTAAACAAGTATAAAACACCTATTATAAAAAATAAAAAAATAATAAAGCTTGAGCAATAAATAAAAGTAAATTTATTACCTAATGATATAGCATACATGCATAAGTTAAATGAATTGTACAAACTACTACTCAACAACCCAAATACAATTTAATCCCTATAATAGCAGCCTTATGCCCCAAAAAATATTTCATATATCATTATAAGCTTTTACATCCTGCTTGCGCTATGTTTGGCCTTAATCTTATGTTTAAAAGGAGATGTCAATGTTACCAAAAAGATTGAATCAACCCATGCACTCCAACCTACAAGAAAATGAAAACATGTCAACAAAAGGAAAGAAAATTACAAACTTTGATTTTAGTATTTTTATGGGGAAAAATTAATTAAAATATGTTTACGTTCGTGTGTTCTTTACACATCTAAGTTATCATTAACAAAAAGTTTATTTGGCAAATCATTATGCTCCTCACACATATAAACAATGAACATTAAGTTATACGTATATATAAATAATCATGTCCATAGTAGAGTCGTAGACCATATTAAAAGATAAATCAATAATAATGACTTACCTATCGAGCATGTTTCTGAGCCTTCTCCACTATTTCAAATTTGGAGTATTTGTCGATTTCCCTCCAGAACTTGTAAGGAGCTTCCTGACTGGACTTTAATCTTAGTCAGTTACCCCTCTTGAACTTGTAAAATTAGCTAATTTACCCACTGACGTTAGATTTGCCAATTTTCCTTCTAATTTCCATCCAACTCGGTCACATGCACGGCACATGCGAATTGTTTGAGGGCAAAAAAATAATTATATATCCTTGCACCCAATTTACCAAAACGAAATCAACGATTTTTACGAGAATTAGTTTACACATCATATGTTTCATGGCCTAGGATGACTCAAACCGATGTTCTGAAGTACACTAATATTTTTGTGAAAGTTGACACACACAGAGGCAGGAAAATCACTGGTGAACAAGCCCGCGACCTATTTCTGAAAGGGGACCACCAAGAGGTAGTACTATTGTCTTTGTATTCATATTTTGGCTTTGTGTTTTATAGGCACATGTGCCATGTGGTTATTGAAGCTCCTTTTTTTGTTTGTTTCTCTTCTATGTATTTTTTTTAAGAGTAAACTGTAGCAATGGTTCCTCAATTTTAATTAAATTAGAGCAATGGTCCCTCAACTAAAAATTCATTACCATTGGTCCCTCAACTTATCAAAATGCATAGCTATAGTCTTTTTCATCAA